GAAGGGCGCGCATCGGGGAGCTCGAGCCCCGCGCAGCGCCAGCGGCCCTTTGGATCGCAGGCTCCGACGCACGGCACGGCTGCGGCCCCACGGTCCGGCCCAGCAGCGGAGCCAAGCGTCAAATCCACCAGCTCGATCAGAACCGCGTCGGGCGCTGCCACGCACGGCATGAGCTTGCGATCGAAACTGGAAGGCATGTAATTGCCTTTACCCGACGCGACCACCACACGCATGGGCGGCGGAACCAAGCAGACCACCTGCGGCATCTCGCACTTGAGGCTGCCCGCCCGGTGCACGTGGATACCTGCCAGTACGTGGGCCTCGGCACTGGCCAGGTGCTCGCGATTGACGTACAACAGCCTCGAGACCACGCTGCCGTTGAACTCCTCGGCCCTGGGCCGCAGCAGCCTGCACCCCGCGCATCTGGACCTGCCACTGCCCTCTCGAAAATCGTGGCGCAAACCGGCCCACGGCGCAGGTGGCTCCTTCACCACAGCCCGCTGCGGCTTGGCCTTGCGGTGCGTGGTGTCCTTGCCCTGCAAGGAGGCCCCCACCGCGCAGCAACACATCGCCACCCCGTCGACTAAATCCCGCGACTGCCCGTGCTTGCGCCGAGAGCCGACAGGCGCGCGGCCAAGGCGGCAAAAGACTCGGCCGCCTCATCCACAAAACGATTGCATCGCCAGTCGCCGAGGCTGATTTTGACCGGCTCCACGTCACGAGCGTTGCAGCACAACTTCACCCGACGCACCAGCAGCCCGCGCTCGCCGACGCCCCCATGGTCGTCGAAGCAAATCCCATAGCACACCACGCCACAACTGTGCCCACGCGCAACAGTACCTGGTGGTGGCCTCCCTCCCGAGCTCCATGACCCTTTATCAAGACGAACTGAAAGTCCACCTCCGCGTCCATCCGAGGCAGGCTCTGGCGAACGAGCAGTGCCAGTGCCAGCAGCCCGCCGCCATTGATGTCCCCGAAGTGTTCGCACAGCATCCCCGAGAGCGACATGGGGACGTGAGGTGCTGGGCAGTTCTGAGCCGCAGCGCCACCACACCCCAACCCACGCTGTCGCAGCCGTCGAACTCTCCCCGTGGGCCAACCCAGGCCCACCACAGGCCACTGCATAGCCTGTAATCAGCCAACGGGTACTCTATGCGTAGGCCTACGCACAGGCTTCATGTAGGTCTGCGCGCAGGCTGCGCATAGGCAGTTTATAAATTTGTGCATAGGGTATAGTAGGCCTTAGGGTACATGTGACAGCAGGCCCTGTAAAAGGCTGGCGGTCGGCCTACATACAATAAGCCGAACGGCAGGCTACCCGTAGGCCTTTCGTAGGCCTATCGATAGGCTAAGGGTACGCCTATAGTGGCCCTATGCACAGACTGTAGTAAGGCCTACGGCGCATGAGCCAACAAGCACTACCCATAAGCCTTCTATGGTCACATGCATAGGCTATGCGCAAGCCTATCATTGGTGTATAGGCAGGCTGCGCATAGACCTAAGCCGATGGGGAGGCAACGCATCAACCTTCAGGAGCCTACAATGGGCTACACATAGGCTATCGCCAGGATTGCATATTGCCCCCAACTGGCGCAAATTAGGCTCCAAGAAACCAAGACACCCCCAAAACCGAATCCAAGAGGCCTCCGATCAGGGGGGCGGAAGACCTGGGTACAGGGGACTCGGAAATCCCCGACGAGGTCGTCAAAAAAATGACGAGGCCGAGCCTGCATTTGGACGAGGCCTCCCGCTGCAGAATCCCACGAAACTCCTACTCGTCAAAATCCGAATCGCGGTCGTCAAAAAACGATGGCGAACCCGAGTCCTGGCAAACCCGGGTCTTACGCTCCCCCGATCCGAAAGGCCTCCCAAGAGATCCCCACGGGCATCCCAGAGGCCTCTGACCTACAACCCAGGCAATGTGGTGGGATAGGCAGAAGGCCACAAAATAACAAACGAGATAAGCTGGTGGGCGCGGCGCTCTCAATGGCCGTAGAAAGACATCGCGATATCGGAGAGAGCGTGATCCGTCGCCGCTTTGCTGTGGAAAACTCGCCCCCCTCTTCCTCCGGAACCCGGGGTTCCCCCCCCCCTTCGAAAATCCCACCCCCCTGTTACCCCTCCCCCCACCCTCCGGAAAACCACTGGGGGGGATCACTATTGGCTCGAACCCCCCCCCTCCAGAAAACCAGGGGGGGGTCACTACCGGTTCAAACCCCCCCCCCTCGCCGCCGGCAAACGATTCCCGCTCCTCGAGACAGTGGGACAGCGGAAAACTGGGGGGGTCACTACCGGTTCGAACCCCCCCCCTCCGGAAAACCGGGGGAGGGTCACTACCGGTTCGACCCCCCCCCCTCCAGAAAACCGGGGGGGGTCACTACCGGTTCGAACCCCCCCCCCCGCACCGCCGGCAAACGACTCCCGAATCCCCACCACAGGTCCGCACCACATCCCCCACCGCTGTCCCCAGCACCACTGTCAAAACCACCACTGTCCCCAC